ACTTTAGCTCAGGTCATGATTTCGTGGTTCATGGGTTCGATCCCCACATCAGGCTCTGTGCTGATAGCTCAGAGCCTAGAGCCTGCTTCGGATTCTGTGTCTCCTTCTCTCTGTGCCCCTCCCTTATTCACACTCTGTCTCTCTCTCAAAAATAAATATTACAAAAAAATTTTTTATAAATTAAAAAAAAATAAAATTTACCATCTTAACCTTTTTTTAAGTAGGCTCCATACCCAGTGTGGAGCCTAATGCAGGGCTTGAACTCATGACCCTGAGATTAAGACCTGAGCTGAGATCAAGAGTCAGTTGCTTAACAGACTGAGCCGTCCAGGCACTCCTCCTCCCCCATCTTAACCATTTTTAAGCGTACAGTTTAGCATTAAATACATTCATGTCATTGTGCAGCCAGTCTCCAGACCTTGTTTAATTTGCAGAACTGAACCTTAGTACCCATTAAACAACAGCTTCCCATGTGTCCGTCCTCCCAGCCCCTGGCAATCACTGTTTTACTTTCTGTCTCTATGAACTTGAAGACTCTAGGTACCTGATGTAAGTGAAATTATTCAGTATTTGCACTTTCATAACTGATCTGTTTCACTTAGCATAATGTTCTCAAGATTAGTTTTTGCTTTTGTTTTTCTTTTTTTTAAATTTTTTTTTTTTTTTTTTCAACGTTTATTTATTTTTGGGACAGAGAGAGACAGAGCATGAACGGGGGAGGGGCAGAGAGAGAGGGAGACACAGAATCGGAAACAGGCTCCAGGCTCTGAGCCATCAGCCCAGAGCCCGACGCGGGGCTCGAACTCAGGGACCGCGAGATCGTGACCTGGCTGAAGTCGGACGCCAACCGACTGCGCCACCCAGGCGCCCCTGCTTTTGTTTTTCATAAGAAAAACATGTACTCTGGAGGTAACTGGGCAAAGAAACAGACCCTTCATAGTTCAGTAATGCAAATACAAATATGAAAAATTGTTTAAAAATGCACATTAACAAAGCTTTTTGGTTTTTCAAATTAACCACATTTTAAGAACTTCTGGTACTCAGTGATGATGATGAAACATGAGACCGAATCTGATTCACTGCAGTTGGGAATATAAATTGGCAGAAGCCCTCTGACAAGTCATTTGACGATATAGATTAAAAACTTAGAATAACAGGCCCTATGGCTCATTAACTCTACTTCTTGGAAGCCAGCCTAAAACATATTCAGACATATAGGCAAAGATTTATGTTTAAAGGTGTTTATTACGAAGTAATTTATTATGCAGTTATTACCGTAATTGGCAACAACATAAATGTTTAAATTAAAGTACATTTCTATCTATGATTCTAAATGAGGTAGCGGAAGGTTCTGTATATGAATTTCTGGGAGTGGTGTGTTTAGTTTGTGAAAACATACGGGATAACTGCCATGAAAGGAAGGTAAAAGATATGTATACATATTGATAGGAGAATGGGCTTTAAAATCCCGGGAATCACCAATTGATAGGATAGAACATTATACATATTTTAACTTGTCAGTAATTTTAGTGATGTAGCAAAAGACTCCTGATAAGCAAAAAAGAGATGGCAACTTGTAATTACAGAATGACCTGAACTATGAAAGAAAAATGCATTTTTAAAAAGTCTTGAGGGGCGCCTGGGTGGCGCAGTCGGTTAAGCGTCCGACTTCAGCCAGGTCACGATCTCACGGTCCGTGAGTTCGAGCCCCGCGTCAGGCTCTGGGCTGATGGCTCGGAGCCTGGAGCCTGTTTCCGATGCTGTGTCTCCCTCTCTCTCTGCCCCTCCCCCGTTCATGCTCTGTTTCTCTCTGTCCCAAAAATAAATAAAAAACGTTGAAAAAAAAATTTTAAAAAAAAAATAAATAAAAAAAAAAAAATAAAAAGTCTTGAAGTTAATATGCCAAAATGTTAACAGTGTTTGCCTCAGGTGGTAGAATATTTTGTTTCTTCTTCATATTTTTCTACGTTTTAGAAATTCTCTGAGACAGTTGTGTCTTACTTTTGTGTAACCAGGGGCAAGTAAAGTTGAAAAGTATACACTTAAAAACAGATTCCAGATATAATTAGAGATACATCATTTTTCTAAAGAAAATTCCATTTAAATTCCAGGGCTTTAGGATCAGATACAGGAGGATCGACCAGAAATCCAGCTGCCCACTGTGGGATTGTTGGTTTCAAACCAAGCTATGGCTTAGTTTCTCGTCATGGTCTCATTCCCCTGGTGAATTCCATGGATGTGCCTGGAATCTTAACCAGATGTGTGGATGATGCAGCAACTGTGTTGGGTATTTGTATGATTCCATAGAATTTTAAAACATTATAAATTTCACTGTAAAAACAATATGTCTGTCATTCCTAAGTATTTTTCCTCACAGGTGTGCTGGCTGGGCATGACCCCAAAGATTCTACCACAATACAAGATCCTGGTAAACCATTTATGCTTTCCAGCTTGACAGATGTGAGCAAACTATGTATTGGAATTCCGAAGGTATCTCTTCCCTTTGATTAGTTCACAGAAATACTGTCAGGTCAAATACAGAGCCCAGGCCTAGGCAACAGACTGGTTGGGGTTGAATCCTGCTTATGCCACTTTTATTAGCTATGTAACCTGAGCACGTGACTTAATCTAAGCTCAATTTCCTGATCTACAAAATGGGGATCACATTTTTGATCTCAGAGAGTAGTAAGGTTTCAATTTGGTAACATCGTTGGGATATAATATACAGCATGGTGACTATAGTTAGTAATACCATACTGCTTATTTGAAAATTACTATGCGAATAGATCTTAAGGTTCTTATCACAAGGGAAAAAAAATTCTTTAACTGTATTGTGACAGGTATTAACTTAGACTTATTGTGGTGATCATTTCTCAACATATACAAATATTGAATCAAACATTAAAACTCATAATGTTGTGTATCAGTTATACCTCAATAAAAAAAAACTAAATAATGATGCTAAGCAGGGGTCTATTAACTTTTTCTGTAAAGGGTCAGTTAGTAAACATTTGAGGCTTTGTGGGCCATGCAGTCTGTATTGTAACTATTTAACTCTGCCACTGTAGTGTGAAAGCAGCCATAGACCATATGTAAATGAAAGAGTGTGGCTGTGCTCTAATAAACCTTTATTTTCAAAAATACCTGGCGGGGTGCTCGGGTGGTTCAGTCAGTTAAGCATCTGACTTCGGGTCGGGTATGATCTCACGGTTCGTGAGTTCAAGCTGTGCATTGGGCTCTCAGCACAGAACCCACTTTGCATCCTTTCCCCTTCTCTCTCCGCCCTTCCCTCTTATTTTTCTCTCTCAAAAATAAAATTAAAAAAAACATAAAAAAATATATCTAGCAAGTTATATCTGGCTCATAGGCCATAGTCTGCTAATTCCTAATGTAAAGGACATAGCCCAGAACCATTCCTTACATAGTAAAATCTTAATAAATATAATACTAATAATGATAGTAAAGAAGGTAACATTTATTAAGCCTTTACTATTGTATTACAGTAGCAATTGAGTAATTCATATATCAAAGTAAATACATTAAATTATTGACCTTTAAAAAATATTTTAATTTTAAGCTTACCAATAATTTTTTGGATAATTTTTTGTTGTGGGACACTGTCTTATGCATTGTAACATTATGCATTTAGCAACATTATTGGCCTTTACCCTTAGAGGTACCACTCCCACCACAGCATAACCCTACAAACAAAAATGTCTGCAGACATTACCAAATGTCCCCTGGTTGAGAGAAAGGGGATAAAATTGTCCCCAAGTTGACACCAAGTTGAGAGAAATACTTTCTTTAAAATTTTCAGTTAAGATCATAGCTATGCCTTCTTTTAAAGATTTAGAAAAGAGTACAGACCTATTTTAGAATTGTAGATCCTCTACTTACCCACTGTGTAACTTTAGGAAAGTTAATTGTCTAGTCTATTTTTCATTAATAAAATGAAGGGTGATAATAACCTATATCATGGGATTGTTAAAAGCATTAAATGGGAGAACCTTTCCACTCATTTTTTATTAATGTTTATTTATTTTGACAGAAAAAGAGCACAAGCAGGGGAGGGGCAGAGAGAAAGAGAAAGGGAGAGAGAGAAAAATCCCAAGCAGGCCTCACACTGTCAACGCAAAGCCTGACACAGGGCTCGAACTCATGAACCGTGAGATCCTGACCTGAACTGAAGGCAGATGCTTAACTGACTGGGCCACCCAGGTGCCCCAAATGAGAGAACCTTTGAAAGGCATCTAGCAGAGTATCTGATAATGAACATTTAGCAAATAAAGCTTCTCCAACTAGTTCTCTAATCTTTAATATTGTCATATCCAGCTTATAAATAACTAGTACAGTGCTTGCCATGCCATAAACACCCCTAAATTAGTTCAGTCTTTCTAGCTACCTATCAGGAATTCAATCAGATTTTCTAATGTATTGCCAAAGGTCCCGAAGAACATATTTTTATAAAACCATGTGTACAGATGTTCTAATTTCTGTATCTTGACTTTTTCCAATAAGGAATATCTTGTACCAGAATTATCAAGTGAAGTGCGATCTTTTTGGTCCAAAGCTGCTAACCTCTTTGAGTCTGAGGGGGCGAAAGTAATTGAAGTGTCCCTGCCCCACACCAGTTATTCAATTGTCTGCTACCATGTATTGTGTACATCAGAAGTGGCATCAAATATGGCAAGATTTGACGGGCTAGAATATGGTAAGATGGCTGTGTCTGGGTTTTTTAAAATAGTTGCCTCAAATATTTGAGTTTTACTTGTAGGGATAAGAAACTTATTCCCCAAGATAATGTTAATGATTTAGACAAGTAAACCAGTGAATCCTCTTGCCTTTGTCATTTAACCTTCTGCTTACCGTATTCCTTGTACATATCTCCGTATGTTTGGCTTCCCTCTCTGAACTGTGGATATTTTAAAGAAACAGTATCTTATCTTTGTATTCTCAGTCTGTCAAATGTAGTGCCTGGCACATGGCAGGAGTTCAGTAGTTGGATGGATGGATGGATGGATGGATGAGGGAGTGAACAAATGATGTTTCCCTGTTGGTTATTTTCTCCTCTCGACTTGATCCCTTACTGGTAGGCACAAGGCAGATAAAGAAGAGGAGCCACTAAGGACAGTCTTCCAAAAGTTTAGTATTGGTCACAAATGTGAATCTACGCTTGCTTTTCAGCCAGAACTTGACTTCCTTTTCAAATGATGTTTACCTCTGTTTTGTTTTCAGGTCACAGGTGTGACATTGATGTGTCTACTGAAGCCATGTATGCTGCAACCAGGCGAGAAGGGTTTAATGATGTGGTGAGAGGAAGGATTCTCGCAGGAAACTTTTTCTTACTAAAAGAGTAAGTAATTAAGAATTTCCTCCATTCTTGAAAACTCAGGAGTAAACTCGTAATATGTCTATCAGGTACAGGTTGAGATATGCGCTAAAGAAGCAAAATTCTTATGCTTTGAATTAGAAATCACAATTAAAGGCCTGCTTATAGTACTTTTGGTTCCTGGTTATTCAAACGAAAAAAAAAAAAAACATTGACACTTTAGCTAAATGATTAATACAAAACTAGGTAGGAAGCCCTAAAGAATTTTAGCTTCATTAAATGTCCCCTGACTATTATTGCCACCTTGGCTTATTGTTGTTCGACACTTAAACAGGAAGTTACATTGGTATATCTCGAAAAATTGAGTAAATCCACTTGGTTTTCCCTTACATTATGTATCTCTTTGCTCCAAGAAAGAATTCTAAATTACTGGGGCTCCTACTGAGATTGTCTTCAATATAAGTTTATTCATCATCTCATAAATAGGATTCATCTTGCATACCACCAAGTCTGTCTAAGAGGACACTTTCTTGTGAAAAAGGAAGAATGATTGTTGTAATAAATACTTCTAGAGTTTTTCTACATGCCCTTAAGAACAGAAAGCATTTTGTTGTCTATGTATCCCTTCAGGGCCTATGCTTAGGATTACTTTTTCCAAGAATATTATTTGAACAGCCATGATGAAAAACAGTATGGAAGTCTCCCAAAAAATTAAAAGTAGAACTACCAGATGATTCAGCAATCCTACTTCTGAGTGTGAATCCAAAGGAAATGAAATCACTCAGAGGAAATGAAATGCCTCAGAGCATTATTCACAATAGCTAAGACATGGAACTAACCTAAGTGTCCATCATCAGAAGGATGGATAAAAAAAATATGTGGTGTGTTTATATCCAATGGAGTATTATTTAGCCATTAAAAAGAAGGAAAACTTGCCATTTGTGACAACATGGGTGTATGGTGAGGTCATTATCCTAAGTGAAACAAGTCAGAGAAAGACAAATACTATATGATCTCACATATACATAGAATCTAAAAAAAAAAGCCAAACTCCTAGAAACAGAAAGTAGAATGGTGGTTACCTGGGTCTGGGCCTAGGGGAAATGGGGAGATGTTAGTCAAGGGTACAAACTTGCAGTGATAAGATGAATAAGTTCGGGGATATAATACACAGCATAGTTATTATAGTTAACAGTACTGTATTATGTCTTTGAAAATTCCTAAGAGAATAGATCTTAGATGTTATTACCACACAGACACACACAGACACACACACACACACACATTGTAATTATGTAAGGTGATAGATGTGTTAACTAACCTTATTGTGGAAATCATTTCACAATATATACATATATCCAATTATCATATTGTACACCTTAAAAATACATAATTTTAATATGTCAACTACATCTCAAATAAAGCTGAAAACAAACAAAAAAAACCTAAAGATGTTTGATTATGTTCCATGTTAAAAGACCCTTTTCCTGCAAATCAAAACTACAATGTGATATTACCTCACAGTTATCAGAATGGATAAAATACAAGAGACAACAGGTGTTGGTGAGGATGTAGAGAAAAAAGAACCCTCTTACACCATTGCTGGGAGTGCAAACTGATGCAGCCACTCTGGAAAACAGTATGGAGTTTCCTCAAAAAGTTAAAAATAGAACTACCCTACTATCCAGCAATTGTACTACTAGGTATTTCCCCAAAGAATACTGAAACACTAATTCAAAAGGATACACATCCCCCTATGTTTACAGCAGTGCTATTTACAATAGCCAAGATATGGAAGCAGCTCAAGTTTCCATCAGTTGATAAATGGATAAAGAAGATGTGATACACACACACACACACACACACACCATGGAATATTATTTAGTCATAAAAAAGAATGAAATCTTGCCATTTGCCACAAGATAGATGGAGTTAGAGAGTATGTTATGTGAAAATCAGTCAGAGAAAGCCAAATACCCTATGATTTCACTCTTGTGTGGAATTTAAGAAACAAAACAAATGAGCAAGGGTGGGGGGAAAGATAGACAAACCAAGAAACAGATTCTTAATTATAGAAAACAAACTGATGGTTACCAGAGGGAGGTAAGTGGAGTGATGGATAAATTAGGTGATGGGGATTAAAGAGTGCACTTGTCATGATGAGCATCGGATGATTTATGTAAGTGTTGAATCACTGTATTGTACACCTGAAATTAATATAATACTGTATGGTAATTAACTGGAATTAAAATAAAAACTTAAAAAAACATAAAAATAAAAGACTCTTTTCCATATTGACCAGATGATTGTAATGATTTGGGAGTAGGAAAAGAAAGTGAAATACTGCTGAGAAATTTTCTAAGCAAAGACTTGTATGAAGCTGAAGATGTTACATTTGGCACTAACTGATGAGATTCAAATTGTATATCTCGGGGCACAAGTTGATAGACTGTATAGATCACTGTAACAGCATGAAAAGAAACTGATGGAGAGGAGTCTGAAAGCTTCTTCCATGGTCACCAATTGGGAGTATTGACAAAAGGAAGTGAGAATTTCTGCTGGTATCCCTGTCTTTTGAGTTCAGGCATTTAAGTCACCTTTTTTTGTCTTGAGGGGTTTTGTTTGCTTGTTCATTTGTTTTGTGAGGGGAAGATGGACATGAGTGATAGGAAAAATGGGATTTGGGTGTACTTTTTTTTAATCTTTAAAAGTCAGTTTATGTGCCAGGAACTATAACAATTCCTAACATTTTTTTTTCTTCATGTGGTAACTCAGTTTACAGTTTTGTCATTCTTCTACTACCTTGTGTTCAAAATCACAAATTTATTGAATTAGGAATCCATGGTTTATTTTTAATGAAAATAATTATTTACATTTGAACCCCGTTTAAATCTGCTTTTCTTTTCTATTTGTCTTCAAATTGTCCTGTTCTTTTAACCTCTTTTCCTGCCTTCTTTTATTTTTCTTGAATAACTTTTTTCTCAAAGAGATTTAAAACAAGGAAAAAAAGAGTCATTGATATTTGCCAAAATATTTACTATTTCTGGTGTTTTTTATTCCTTTGTATGGATCCAAATATCCATCTGATGTAATTTTCTTTCTGCCTAAAGAACCTTAATATTTCTTGTAGTACAATCCTTCTAGCAAGGAGTTCTTTCAGCTTTTGTTTATATGTAAAAGTCTTTACTTTACCTTTAATTTTGATAGATATTTTCTCTAAGTATAAAATTCTAGATTGATAGTTTTTCTTTCAGTACCTAAAAGATCTTGTTCTGTTGTCTCTTGACTTGCATAGTTTCTGAGAAGTCTGTAGTCAGTCTTATCTTTATTCCTGTGTGTATGACCTTTTCCCCTCCCACCCGTGGGTGATTTTATCATTAGTTTTCAGGAATTTGACTGTGATGTCCCTTGGTGTGGTTTTCTGCATATTTCTTCTTGTTTAGGGGTTTGTTTAGCTTCTTGGATCAGCTTCTTGGGTTTATAGTTTTAATCAAACTGGAAAAATTTTGGCCATTATTTCTTAAAATATTTTTTCTGCTCTCCCCCTTTTCTGGGACTCCATTTATATGTGTGTTAATTTGTTTGACGTCATCCAAGAGCACTAATGGCTCCATCCTAGTTTCTCTCTTTTTTAGTCTTTGCACTTGTTTTTGTTTTTGTTTTTGTTTTTTAAGTGTTTATTTTGAGAGAGAGTGTGTGTTGGAAGGGCAGAGGTGGGGGACAGAGACAGAGGATCTGAAGCTGGCTCTGCACTGACAGCAGAGAGCCTGACACAGGGCTTGAACTCACGAACCCTGAGATCATGACCTGAACCGAAGTCTGATGTTTAACCAACTGAGCCACCCAGGCACCCCAGCATGCTTCTTTTTGTATAGGTTCTATTCATATCTTCAGAATCACTGATCATCTGCTGTCGCATCCAGTGTTGTTTTTATATTTTGTATTTTTCATTCCTAGAACTTCCAAGTAGGTTTTATTTCTTCAATTCCTTCATCATTTCATGTTTGCTTCTATCTTCTTGAACATATTTACAGTAGCTGCTTTAATGTTCTCATCTGCTAATTCCAACATTTCTGTCATTTCTGGATGTCTTTATATTGATTGCTTTTTACCCCCTAGTTTTTGGGTCTTATTTTCTGCTTTTTAGCATGACTGGGCATTGTGACTTTTACCTTGTCATTTGCTGGATTTTTGTTGTATTCCTTTAAACAGTGTTGGGCTTTGTTCTGGGATGTAGTTCTTTTGAATCTGTTGGATCCTTTCAGGACTTCCTTTTAAAAATGCTTTGCTAGGACGAGTCCAAAATGGCCTTTAGTTTAGGTTAATTTACCTCTACTGTAGGCAATACCCTTGAAGCTTCTGCCAGACGCCTCATGTATTATGAAGTCTTTCCACTTTGGCTCTTAGGAACACACACTATTTCTAGCCCTATATGAGCTCTTGGAATTGTTTGATTTTTCAGTGGTTCTTTCCCCAGCTTGAGAATTTCATCTTTTACAAGCACAGATCAGTACTCAGCCAAAGACTGGAGGGCTCACTGCAGATCTCTTGAGCCCTCTCTGTGTGCTACTTTTCCTATTCAGTACTCTTCCCTACACGTTCCAGTTGTCTTGGCCTCCCTGAACTTCCAATCTTGGTCTCTTTAACTTTCTGACAACTGCCCCCTGAAACTTGCATAGGTTCCTCCCGTTTGAGCTGAAGCCTGGAAACTGCCTCCAGGCAGTTCTGAACTCCCTCTCTTGAATGCCTGTTGTGTAGTATCTGAAAATGGTTGCTTTATTTTGCCTAGTTTTCTTTCTTTTTTAATTTTTTTTTAACGTTTATTCATTTTTTGATAGACACAGAGCATGAGCAGGGGAGGGGCAGAGAGAGAGAGGGAGACACAGAATCCGAAGCCAGCTCCAGGCTCTGAGCTGTCAGCACAGAACCCCACACAGGGTTCAAACTCATGAGCCGTGAGATCATGACCTGAGTTGAAAGTGGATTAGGGTCTATTTCTAGACCCTAATACTTATAAATATAACCCCCACACACAAATGTTGGGATCCTCAATTTTTAAAAACTTGTGGGTTTTTTTAATGTTTATTTATTTTTGAGAGAGAGAGAGAGACAGAGACAGAGACAGAGCATGAGTGGGGGAGGGGAAGAGAGAGAGTGAGACACAGAATCCGAAGCAGGCTCCAGGCTCTGAGCTGTCAGCACAGAGCCCGACGCGGGGCTAGAACTCATGGACCGTGAGATCATGACGTGAGCTGAAGTCAGACGCTAACCAACTGAGCCACCCAGGTGCCCCTTGGCTAGTTTTCTAATTGTTTATTATGGCAGGGTAAATTGTATCCCTGTTACTCTATCATTAATGGAAGCAGAAGTTGTGCTTTTGAACCATATTTAAAGTAGGAAAAAGTTTAATAGAAAACAAAAAATGTTTTAATAAAATTGAGGTTTGGGGGATGCTATTAATGACATTATTTAAGCCATCAAGTGTTATTATTGTACAAATTATAGGTGATACTTGCATTTATCTCCCTATAGACCCTGTGGTCCAATGATAGTAAGGGCATTTGATATTTCTATAGGATTGGGTTTTTTTAAATTTTTTTTAACATTTTTATTTATTTTTGAGAGAGTATGAGCAGGGGAGGGGCAGAGAGAGAGAGAGAGAGAGAGAGAGAGAGAGACACATAGAATCTGAAGCAGGCTCCACGCTCTGAGCTGTCAGTACAGAGCCCAACGTGGGGCTCAAACCCACCAACTATGAGATCATGACCTGAGCCGAAGTCGCATGCTCAACTGACTGAGCCACCCAGGTGCCCCTATAGGATTCTTATAGCACATTTTTGTCTTTATTGTATTTGGTCCCCAGTAAGACTGGAGTAGTTGTATACATTTTTACAGGTGAGAAAACTGAAGTTTAAAAATGGTACTTTTGCCAGCCTTTCTAATTCACTTCAGGAGGATCTAAAGAGAGTGCTTTAGTTTTCCCTTTCTTTGCACGATTGACTAATAGTCACTTTTGTAGCTGGCTAATTCTTAATCTTTTCAGTAGAGTAAGCATCTTTTCATGAATTTCAGATTCCCATTCTGGGGGGTGTTCCTATCCATAAAATACAGAATTGCAGACACTCCAGTTTATCTTTCCAGAGCCTGTCTCCTTGTGTCTAATTATGATGGCATATTCGAATTTTGAAAAATTTCAAATTCTTATAATAATGAGTTATCATTATACTACAGGTGAAATAAGACATTTTAATGAAGGTAAAATTCAAATAAGCCTCCAAAGACCTAAGTTCTGGTCTTTCCTTTACCACCACCATTCCATGTAATCTTTGGAAAAGTCATTTGACTGCTATGCACTTGATTTTTTTTTTTTCACCTGAAAATAAATGTTCTGGTTTAAGGATGTCCATGGAAGTGTTAATATTTTGTGATTAGATGTGTAGAATTGTATCTAGCGGTGAATTCTGATTAAGCTCCTGATACAGATTTTTAGAATAACAGCACACTTGAACAAAAATCATTTTTGTGTGTTGTTAGGGATCTCAGCGGTGCCTGCTTATAAAGGTCAAGAATCCAGTCACTGTTTAACGAGCCTTATACATGAAAATTGATTCAAAGAAATAACAAAAAAAATCCTTAAAATATCATCTATTCTTTTTCCACAGAAACTATGCAAATTATTTCATCAAAGCACAGAAAGTGAGACGGCTCATTGCTAATGATTTTGTGAATGTTTTTAACTCTGGAGTGGATGTCTTGCTGACCCCCACCACCTTGAGTGAGGCGGTGCCATACCTGGAGTTCATTAAAGAGGACAACAGGACGCGAAGCGCCCAGGATGATATTTTTACACAGGCTGTAAATATGGCAGGTGAGGATCCTTTAGGAATGTTCTGGTTTTCTTTAAGTTTTTAGACTGGCATCTGGTCTTTAACTTAGATTCTAACTACATTGTTCTCTGAAGGCAATAGCTTGTCCTTCTGGAATGTTTAGGGGTGCATGTGTGTGTGTATGTGTGTGGTGTGTGTAATGTTTAGGCATGCATGCACTTGCACCCACCATGCACATGCATATTCAGAATCAGTCCCCTTAATAGCATAATTTTAACTTTACTTTGGAAATTTTCAAACCTGCGGAAAAGTTGAAAGAATGGTATAATGAGTACCCATATGTCCTTTGCCTGGATTCATTCATTTTGCCTCATTTAATTTCTCCTTCCTCTCTTTCTCTCTGTACACACACACACACACTTTTTTTTAGCTGAATAATTTGAAAGAAAGTTTCAACATCATGATACTTCACCCCTAAATACTTTAGCATAAATCTTCTAAAAATACAAACATTCTCCTGCATAACCACAATTTCGTTATCATATCTAGGAACACTAACATGAACATAATAATATTCCAAACAGTCCATATTTACATTTTCTCAATTGTACCAAAAATGTCTTTTATAAAATTGTTTTTCCCCTGATATATTACATTTGCTTATCTAGCAAATGTAATCTAAAACAATCTAGAACAATCCCCTAGTTCTCTATGTTTTTGGTGGTTTTTTTTTTTTGTTTTGTTTTGTTTTTTAGGGCTACATCAGACAGTGTTATAATTTTTGTTTTAGTCATCAAACATAATGTAGAAAACTCGAGAAAAGGAAAGCCTGTTCTATTTCCCCATACTTTTATCTACTATGTTCATTTCTCACTGGCATATAGAGTCTTTATTTTATCATATCCTTTTTGTTTAAATTCCTTTAGCTCTTCTTCTAGGGTACATCTGCTGGCAACTAATTCTCTTCACTTTCTTTCTAAGAATGTCTTGGTTTCCTTTCATGTTTAAAGGTTATGTTCACTGGATATAGGATTTGGGGTTGACATTTCTTTAGCACTTAAAAAATGTTATGCTACTTTCTTGTCTGCATAGTTTCTGATAAGAAATCCCCCACCTTCTAAATTTTTTTTTTAATTGACATTGACTTTTTTTGAAGAGTCTAGTGCACTTGCCCTATAGTATGTCCCGTCCATAATCTGGTTTTGTCAGATTGCTTCCTCATGATTCGGTTGAGTCAAACAACTGTTGCAGAAATACTATATACTCTTCATGTCAGGAAACAGTTCATGTCAGTTTGTTCCACTTTTAGAGACTTTAAGTTGATCCCTTGGTTAAGGAGAAAATTGCCACATGTTTTCCTTGTAAAGGTACATTGTTCCTTTTATCAATTATAACCAATTGGGGAGCTGATACTTTGAGATTGTGTGAACATCCTATTCCCCAACAATCTTTTTTTTTTTTTTTTAAGTTTATTTATTGAGAGAGAGAGCGAGCAAGCATGAGCAGGGGAGGGGCAGAGAGAGAGAGAGAATCCCAAGCAGGCTCCATGCACGGAACCCCATGGGGGCCTCAATCTCACGAACCACTCATGACCTGAGCCAAAATTAAGAGTGAGCACTTAACCGACTGAGCCACCCAGGTGCCCCAATAATGTTGAACCCAGTTTTAGATCTGTTGATGATCCTTGCCTAAATTATTTCTCAGAGAATTACAAAATGTTGATTTTTCTGTTTCTATATATTAGCTGGCAGTCTTCTCTAAAGAATAGCTTTCCCTTTTTTTCAATTCAATGTATTGTAAACAGTTACTGTCATTATTGGTTTTGATGTTCAAATTGTCCCAAATTTGGCCAACAAGAGCCCTTTCAAGTTGCATATATCCCTTAGACCTATCCCCATTAATTTCTAAAAACTTCCTTATTTTATGGCATAACAAGATATCCCAGGATCTTTTACTTTCTCTGCCCCAAACCTGGAATTAAAACTACCCTGAGCTACCATTTCTCATATAACAAATTGGCCAAAATTCAAAAGTTCAACAACATACTCGATCGGTAAGGCTGTCAGGGAAAAAGCATTTTGCCAATGGGAGTTCAAAATAATACAACTTTTTTGGAGGGGAATTTGGCAATGTCTAATTACATATGCCTTTATCACTTGATGAAACAATCCCTTTTCATCTGAGAAACTTTCAAGAATACTAAAAAGCGTGTACACAAGGTAATTCACCGGGGCATGGCATGAAATAGCTGAATACTGAAAACAACCCAGATACCCAATCATTGAAGATAGGTGAATAAATTATGGCACAAACCACATAATGGAGTGCTATGCAGCTATAAAAAGGAATGAAGGAAGTCTTTGTGACCTGATACACAGTGATTTCCAAGATACACACACACACACACACACACACACACATACACACACTCACACAAACGTATATACATATATATATATATATATTTTTTTTTTTTTAAATGTGTATTTTTGAGAGAGAGAGAGCACATGTGTGTGAGCAGGGGAAGGGCAGAGAGAGAGGGGGACTGAGGATCCAAAGCCAGCTCTGCATTGACAGCAGAGAACCTGATGTGGGGCTCAAACTCACGAACCAGAAGATCATGACCCAAGCTGAAGTCAGATGCTTAACCAACTGAGCCACTCAGGCGCCCCTCTGAGATATATTGTTAAGTGAGCAAAGGAAGGTACAGAAGCACATATATCATACAATTTTTGTTATTTTTTTTAACCTCATCTGTCTTGTCCCTACGAGCACTGGGAAGCAGAAGTCTCCACTTCTTATGATGAAGAATTAATCAATTCGTGGGTTTCCTTGTTTTCTTCAGGATTGCCAGCAGTGAGTGTCCCTGTGGCGCTCTCAAACCAAGGGCTGCCAGTAGGACTACAGTTTATCGGACGTGCATTTTGTGACCAGCAGCTTCTTACAGTTGCCAAGTGGTTTGAAAAACAAGTACAGTTTCCTGTTATTCAACTTCAAGAGCTAATGGATGATTGCTCATCAGTCTTTGAAATTGAAAAGTTAGCTTCTGTTTCTCTAAAACAGTAGTGATACATATAGCATACAAATTAAAATAACTTGAAAATTTTGTAGTCTAGAGAAGTCAGATGATCTTGCTAAATTCCTATAATTTGGTTCATTGTCAACACAGTCATTCCTTGGACTCACTTCTTAAAATTCTTGTGATATAGTTAATTAATTATAAATCATCTGTCAGCATTTATTAAGTATCCACTAAGTGTAAAGTACAGGATTTCTACATTAACACAAGATACATGTTCCTGAAAAATGATGCATTCTGAAAAAATGTTCATTAATAAGAACAGAGCTTAGAGTAAAATTAAGCTTAGGGATAAACCTCTCAAAACTTGTACATCTTTGTAACCAAAGTGCTGATAAAAACTGTGTAATTTGTACCTCCAGAGACAACCTGAACAGCCAGGCAGACAGGTAGTTGAACATGTGGTGGAGGCTGTCCCAGGAGATGTTAAAAATGCATAAAAACAATAAAATGGGGGTATTTGCTTCTGAATTCTGAACAAAGGAGGTACAAGAGGAGCTCTGAGCACTGGAGGAAGTGCAACCTGCTGGGGCCCAGAGTCATGCAGGACTGGGGGCATGCCTCTCTGGGGAAAACCACAGGTGCAGACACTCTTTATTTCTCTAAAAATAGAGCTGCAATGACTGAGAACTTTCTCCTTTTTTGCTGAAGGTGAAAATTTTACTTCTGCTCTCCCAGAACCCCATGCCAAGGAACCAGAACAACTCCACGTTGTACTGACTTCATTTTTCTATTTAACCAATCACAAATGAACTCATTGGTGTCACAGAAATATTTGTTGTAACCTTGAGAGACCATCTTGGACTTGAAACTTGGTCGTGGATCATGACTTTAGTGGGAAACTTTCAAGATACACAAGAAATACCCAATATGAAAAACTTGTGGATAATTTGGTGAGGATGCCAAAGAGAGGAGGCCCATAGCCTCCTCCTTTACCCCAGATTCTCTGTTCCTTATGGTTTCCTTGCCCTCTTGGCTTTCTTTACAGGTGTTCTCTATTTTGAGTCCCTTGAACCCAAAGAGACATTAATGAGAATCTGTATTCAAAAATTGGGAAAATATTTATGAAAATCATAGATTTACCTGATATAGTTTCATCATTGGATTTGTCTTTGCCAGAACACCATTGTCATCTCGTGTTGATCAGGTCTTCTAATTTGTCATTTGTATGTTACTATACATATATGTCTGAAGCTGAATTATTTTTTAATAAATTCACTTTGTTTAGTAAGGAAGAAATCTTTTCTAAATATGAATTATATGAGGGGGAAATGTAAGTGGCAGAACTTTCTGCAGAGTCACTGGAGTGTTGGCATGGTAGAAAGTTAACCTGCCTGTTACCTTTTCATTAATAGTTTTCTCTCCTCTCAGGATCCTTCCATTTCCAAATACTCAATTGGACAAACTTTATATAAAAGCCTTTGGTGCCAGGCCCACTAGTTTTCTTACAAATCTTGACTCTGAATCCCTGAAAGAGGAAGAAATTCACAAGAACTGCATTATTTTATAAGAGGGAAATCCATCTTAGCTGAAGGAGCTAATATGATGTAAAAAGCAAGCAAATAATAAATCCTTGCCCTAGTCTTTTTTCAATGTGTGTATAATTTGAAATAACTTTTTTTCCAAAGAATATTTATACAGTTTCTCCTATTCCTATCTCTTATTCGTGTATCTCTGCTTGAGCTGCACTAATGATGTGAATCCTGAAATAAGGAAGTGAAACGTTGAGTGTTCTCACATAATTATACCCAACTAGCATGAAATAATACCTAATTTGTTTTTCTTTCTCCTCCATCTTTACCCTAAATCTAGGAGATCTCATTTTACCAACTCACTGTCTGGGAATTTAAGTGGGAAATGGTTTCTGTATCCCAGCTAATTAAACCCTGAAATTGTTAGCAGCAAAGCAATTCTGAAAGGCAGAGGTGGCTACAAGTGTACGATGAGTTCCCTGATCAAACACAGCAAAACAAAGAACAGTTAGATTCAACAACAGAAGCATCGCTAGAGTGAAAAAATGTGATGAGATCACAAAACCTGGCACCCCAACGCCACCAAGAGCCCAGGGAGCAAGTGGGAAAGTCACATTCCCAAGAAAATCACTTGAAACCAGGGAGGCAGAATGTTCTCTTTGGCCATTTGCTACCAGGTCATCAGGAACACAGAGGACCTTGAGCCAGCTAGAAAGGAGCATGGTTTGGAAGAGGAGCTTCTAAGAATGACAAAAAAGAAAAAAAGAATGGTGACTCCCAGTAGGAAATCACCTGTACCTTCTAATGGGGAGAAGAAATACCGTTAGGATTTTAGACTGAAGGACAGTGAAGAGAGCTGGTATAGCTCAGGGATCCTGCAGACTGTGTCATACCCTGTTCCAGTCAAGGACAGGAGCAAGCTAATGGAATTTCCACCATAACTTTCATTCATTAACTACTTTTAACTCCCTCTCTTTCCACAAACATCTGATTATCTATACCGAGGCTAAATAGGTACTGACTGTGCAAGCCTAGGCTAAAATTTGTTCATTGTGGTAAGAAGCGCCAGAGAACAGTTTAAAGCAGGTTTTCCTCAGTTATTTCATAACTCAAGCAGCATGTACACTAAAACATAAACCTGAAAATTTAATAAAGTCAAATAACATGAGAAAAACCCAGCCAACATTAAATAAAAGCAATTATTGGAGGATCTCAGTAGGTTATTTTTTTCATTTCTTTTTCTTCACACCTCAGTGGGATATAAATCCAAGAGGATTTTAGGCAATTTATTAAAAACATTATTACAATGGCATAAAAGTAAATAGTTGAGGAAATAAGTATGGCGATGAAAGTAACGAAAAAGAATAAAACCAGGAATAAAATCAAAAATAAAAGTTCTCCTCAAGATACTTACACAGATGCTTAAAGGTATATAGTATGACATAGTGGGGAATTTTCCTGTAGGCTACCTAATGGATAAGGCCACCGATTTAAAAATCAAATAAACTTGGGTTTGAACCCTATTATTGCCATTTACAAGATGTGTAACCTGTATCCTGACTTGTAAAATAGAGATGATATTTACTCCAAGGGATGTTTGGAAGGATTAAATTTAAATGACGCATGATGCCTTGATAGACTAAGCACTCAATAATTTGTAGCTATAAGTAAATGCATACAATTAGGAATTTAAGTCATTTTCTTACACAGTTAACCCTTGAACAACACAGGTTTGAACTGCATGGGTCCACTTACGTGTGAATTTTTTTTTGTAGAAGTAAAATACAGCTCTGTACTGTACAGTGTATTTTCTATTCCTTGTGATTTTCTTAATAAAATTTTGTCTAGCTTCATTGTTAAGAATATAGTATATAGTGCATATAACATTAAAAAAATACATGTTAACTTTATGTTATCAGTAAGGCTGTAAGTAGTTAAGTTTTGAGGGAGTCAAAAGTTACACATGGGGTCAGTGCCCGATGCCCCACATTGTGCAAGGGTCAACTGTAGATACTATCAATACATGTAGATAATACCAACACATCAATGCATGCATGGTAAACTAATGGCACGTGACCAAACAACAATTTGCTGAAAACTTGTACTAGAGACCAGTTCTATAGCTCCCTGATGATCTGGCTCCCCTAAGGATGGACTTTAAAATATCAGGAAGAACCCATGGCCTGCATATTTTTAAAGCAATTTCCATGAGCTTTTTTTTTTTTTTTTGATAGAGAATTGGCCAACAACGTTCAAAGAACTGAAGGTCTTCAAAAGGCCCCTGTGCTCTGCCAATCAAATGAAGAACAGTACCAACATACTCTTTTCTTTTTAATGTTTATTGGTTTTTGAGAGAGAGAGGGAGAGAAAAGTGGGTGAGGGGCAGAGAGGGAGAGAGAATCCCAAGCAGGTCCTCCTGCCCCCCACAGTCATTGCAGAGCCCGACTCTGGGCTTGAACCCACGAACCATGAGATCATGACCTGAGCCAAAATCAGGAGTTGGACACTTAACTGACTGAGCCACCCAGGCTCCCAGAAAAGCTCTATTGTTAAAAGAATATGTTGCAGGGTCAGTCAGTTAAGAGTCCAACTCTTGATTTCGGCTTAGGTCATGATCTCAGGGTTTGTGAGTTCGAGCCCAAGCAGAGCCAGCTTGGGGTTCTCTCTCTTCCCCTCTCTTTGTCCCTGCCCCCCTCACGCTTTCTCTGTCTCTCTCAAAATAAGCAAACAAAAAACAATGAAGTCTCTCAAAAATATGGCTGTTACATATTCCCGTTGGGGAGCAGGGAATGCTTCTGACAGAGCCATGGTCTTCCTACTAAAACTCTGTTCCATTTCAATATATAGATACAGATAAGTGAGGCCCCAAATTGCTACATCTTCACTGCAATTATTTTAAAATGGGAAAAATTTAAGGTTGATGTTGCCAACGGCCTGCTAGTATAGCCATCAGGGGGAAAAAAGTTAATGAAGTACCCATGGGGCATGTAATGATAAGTGTTTTCCAAGATAAATATTTTGCAAAATGGACCTGCAAAATAACGATAGAACTGGTGTAAGATATCTGACAAGATGGTAACTGACGACTTTAGCATAGTTTATTTAGCAGGACGAGTTGTCTATAGAAGCCAAACATAGTACAGAAGCCTTATTTTTCTGATTTCTGTGATTTACATGTGTGTGTAAATCATCCCCAACCGGTTTCAGATCATTAGAATATAAACTAAAAGGAAGTGAGGCTAGAATATGGGAGTTTTAAGACTTACACTAACCAAGTCTAATACAGTATTCTATCAGAACCATTTTATAGCCTGCATATAAAAGTAGAGCATCAAATTACATGCAAATTATTTTCTTAGCTATACCAGTCTGTTTCTCCATGGAAATGGCAAGTAATTGGTGCAGAATTAAGGTGGTGCTAATGGGAAAAGAAGTGAAATACCATAAAATGAAAATTAGAATGTAAGGCTTGCCTGGATTAGAGGGTATGAGAGAAAGGAGGGAAAGAAACGTGA